ACAGCTGCTATCTAGCTAGGTTTCAGTGGAGTGAGGCTGCCATTTTGCATATTCTCAGTTGCAAAATGAGAAGATGCCTTTCTGACCACCACCAGAAGCCAAAGTGGGTGAAGTATCTTGCCCAAGGACAAAATGGTAGAGTCATTCCATTGAACAGGAGTACACTATTTTTTCATATAATTACATCAAATTTATGTTGAATTAAATTCATTTTTTCTGTTTATCTTATTTTATATTCTGTCTGTGTGTAAATCTACAAGCTATTCTATTCTATTCTATTCTATTCTATTCTATTCTATTCTATTCTATTCTATTCTATTCTAAGGCTTAAACGTTTAAGATATTGTCCCATTATCCTGCCAGATGAACAAACAGTAACAACTAAGACTGTTAATGAATATATTTTCCTCCCTGACACTGTGTTCATCCGCATCTGAATGCTCCAAACCAATAAACAACCAAAATATCTAATTTTATAGTAGTTCTTATTTTTTCTGATGATCAAGTTAATAAATTAATTCAAGTCACACCTATTCTCTTGATTTCGTCAGAAGCAGTGCTGTGCACTTTATACTGATAATGGATCCGCTTAACCCTGAGTCAAATGATCTTCTCACCTTTGTGATACACTTAATGTGATCCCCCAATTGACACAGTTGACTCACATGAAAACCGACTGCTGTTTAATAAACCAAAAAAAAAAAACCTCTAACCAACCTCTTTGTTTTCATGATGACTGTTATTGTGTGAATGTGAGGTTTTAGCACCTTTAGCTTTCAAAACTTGTCATTGACACATTGCTGTTACAGGAAGTACATGCGTTCTTTAGCTTAGGGTTATTTTATGTTGGGTTATGTTCTGTCTCTTGGGCTTTGGCTTAATTTTCTGCATTTTAAGCCTCACCATTATGCATTTGTCACATTTTTATACAGGTTTTTATGGGTCAACAGTGCCAATATACTCCTTTCAAGTTTAAATTTAAAGTAATATTTTAACTCGACCAACATGTTTCTTCTGACTAAAAATTAAAATTCAATGTAAAAGAGCATGTTGTTGTATTCATACCGATTACATATTGTGAGTCGACAGGAAAATTCAGAGACTTAAATAATTTCTCATTGTCTGTGGTAAAATCCTCCTTGATCTTTGCTGTTATAACAAACTTAAAAAGTGAAAAACAGCAGCTCTCTCTACTTGGTGTGTGGCACGTCCTAACTAAAAAAATAGCTCAGTCACGACGTGAGGTTGTGCATTGTGGCTGCCTCTGGACTTAGGTATTCCAAGTCTAAGTCTGATAGCAACAATACAGGCAATCATTCTGGAGAGGTTTTCCTGTGAGTGTGTCCAGGCCAAAAGTCTCAAATTGGTCCCCAAACGACCACTACAGAAAACACCTCGGTATATGAACTTTAAAAGATTGTATGCCCTAAATGGTTTACCATACAGTCGTGCAGCAAATTTAAAGTCAAATGTGATAAGCTGGCAAAAAAAGGGCTGGCACCATGCTGCTGTGCCAGGAGGATATTCTCAAGTCTCTGAGGTTTCCTAGCAGGTATTACAAGACTGATTTTGCACAGTAAGATGCCATGTTTAAATGGTACCACCCACACACACTCCCATGCACGCACACATACGTTCTTGTTAACATATTTTACGGGGCCCAAAAGTAGAATGGTGAGTTGCGGGGCCCACCCTTTCTAGACGTCCTAGATCTATGAAAAAAATCAGGCAAGTCCCCCAAAAAATCTTGATACTAAAAATCACCTTCATTAAAAACAATTTGAACACACACACACACACACATGCACGCACATGCACGCACACACACGCACACGCACACAAACGCATGCACACACGCACATGCACACACACATATGTACATAAATAGTCAGCTGACTTTTAAGAAAGTTTAAGTACTCATGATTTTTCTGAAAAGGGAAGTCTAAAGATGAACAGTATACATGCCCACGTGTGAAATTCCACCACAGCTTGATAAAACTGGCATCATTTGTGAAATATTTTGAGCTCTTTAGAAGCTGTGCCATGATGCTAACTGAGAGTCAAAAAGAGAAGTCAGAAGTCATTTACAGTTTTCATTAAGAAGAAGAAAATACAAACTGAGAAAGTAGTTGTCTTGTAGTTTTAGTTCTGAAGAACTTTATAATAGTGTTATTTTTTATATTTTCATGCAGCCACAAAACAGTGAAGGATAAGATAACATGTAGTGATGAGGCTTAGAACAGAAGTTTCAGACCTGAAGGCATCTTCTAGACTTTAATAATTTTATGGCGCAACATCGAGGGCATTTTAATGACAGAAGCACTCCAAGCACGTAAAAACTATTTTGATGCATTTTTGTTCATGTTAACTCTGTCTAAACATACAGTATTGCTCAATATGTCATGTTTAAAGTGAGACTGCAAATTTGCAAGAAGGTGAAAAACTCTTTTACATTAACATTAGAGATAAAAAAAACAAACAAACCCTGAAACATAGAAAAAGGGAAAGGCTGGAGACATTGTCATTAGAGTAATGCAATGATCAAGTGAGTAATAAAAGCAATTGACTCAAATGGCTTATTTGTCATGAATTGGAGTTTGGTGAGTTGATGAGAATGGACCCGGCTGGACCCAGGTTGTGATGAAAAATGATGACTTTAAAGGTGATCCACAAAGAGAATAGAAGTCCAGGCAGCACAGGTGAGCAAAGGGGCTAGAGAGTTCCTGTCATGTCTGCCTACAGACACGACATTCACCAAAGATCCGATGGGGAGCAGGGAACACAGGTGGGAGTACATAAACTGGGGGAAATCAGGAGAAACGTCAGACAGCTGGAACCAATCAAGAGGTTGCCATGACACAGGGACTGATAAACGCAGACAAAACCAATTTCTCACATTGTCACCACCAAACAAAACCTTGAGAGTTTCAAGAGAAGTTGTTGCATTTCACTGTGAATGCAAGACAACTGCTAAATTAAACTAAGAATAACACACGTGAGAATCACATTTGTACACTGTCGCTCCACCTCTTCTTTAGTGGTGTAAATGAGTTGGAAACTGGAAACCACTGACCAGAACTTGCCATCTACAGTCAAGGTAAGGTGCCAAGATATTTCCCTCTTGCCTGCTCCAATTATTTTCTATTTATATATTAAAACAAAACTTTATTTGTTTTATTTTCTGTTACCATTCCAAGCAGTGAGGAAATGTATTTAAAATTAACACTGTGGATTTTGTGTTTTTGTGTGATGTTCCTTGATTTTATTCCCCCATAGATGGCAAACTTTTGGCAGCTCATGCTCCTGTTTTGGATGTGGATTCCTCCTGGACTCTCATCCACCATGAGTTTTATTGGTTCTCCAAAACAATGTGAAACGGCTCACTTTGTCCCCGGCTACAACCTGGGTGGAGAAGGCTATGACATTGTGACAATGGAGAGGAAAGGTGCCTATGTCATCGACACTGAGACATGGGACCTTGGAAATGGCACTTGCAAAATGTACAGAAACAGATACCAGAATGGAGAGAACCAGAAGGTCCCAGTCTCTGTGGTGGACTGGAGAAACCTCCCAAAGTGCAGCATGAAGGTTTCCAGCATGCTCTATGATTCTGTCGAATCTCTCGTCAACGATTCCACATCATCGGTCTCCAACGACTGGAAGATCGGTTTGGAAATCCCTGTGGACCCTTCAGTCACTGTTGGTGTTGGCCTTGGAGGGTCACACTCCAGGGCTTCTGAATTTGGAATGAAAAAATCCAAAAGCGATCGCTACGAATTTGTCCGGCAGTCGGTCAATTGTAACTTTTACAGGTGAGGATGCACATGGATGCTGTTAAAGAGTTGGATGGGTGTCTTTTGTGTTCATTGAGAAATGTTTTAAATGAGATTCCATCAGGACAGAAAAGAGATGGAGAACTTTGCACAATGAAGATGTAATGTTCAATATACATGTTCTTACCCTTGTGAGTGTTTATTATTTGATTTACAGAAATCCAGGTTTAGAACAATTAATACTCTTTGTTAGAAAACATATTTTTTGTGTACAACCTTTTTTGGTGAGAAATATTAACCAAAATTAACTGATAATGTTACAAAAATGTTATTGATTCAGTCAGAAGATCAGATTTCTCTAAATCAAATTAGAACAAAAACCTGGCCTGATTGAGGAAAATGAATGTCATTTTTGGATTCAGCGGTGTAAAAATAGTCCTAATTCAGTTGAACTTCCAAAAAATATTTTTTGTAACCCAGTGTTATATATTATGTTTCATTACATATAAACTTCATGAGCTTGATTTTTAAATTATATTAACATACTAATACAGAACAATTAGTAAAAGTAGAATGAATGACTGAATGTTCATACTTTATTAATCCCAGAAGGAAATTCACATAACAGCACAAAAACAATAAATAACAGATAAAACACAGATTTATTTATTTATTTTATTTTTTTTTATCAAGAAGAGCAAACATAATTTACAAAATTGCAAACCCAAATCTCAGAGAAGCAAACATTGAATCTTTGTGTTACAAATTAGAGTATACATAAAGTGCAAATCAGAACATACTATACACAGAGACAGGCAGTTGGTGAGCAAAAAAGTGTGACAATTGAAAAGCTTGAGGTTAGTTTTCAAAGCAAACCACCCGCGACGGAAAGCAGGTCAGTTACAAGCTACTTCAAGGAAGGATGACGTTAACTGAGACACTAGTGGGGTCTGTATCTGGGTTAAAGTCAGAGGTGAAAATTGAAATCAATATTTTTCAGGTTTTTGGACAATTAGCAAATTTTAGAGGAGAAAGAAGACTGCTATTAAGCAGATAACTACGTGTTGAAATGTATTTGTCTTTAGAGTATCTTAATTACATCGTGTTGTATGTTAAGGATCTTACTCTCTCTGAATCCTAATTTCTCTAACATTTTCTTTAAGATTATATTTTACTTCATACTGTAAACAAGCAGTGACTGTTGCCTTTAAGCTTCCATCTGATTTATAGATTCTGATTCATCATTCGCTATTTCAGTTCATGAACTGCCAAGTTCCAAACCTTGAATCAGGTACTAACATCAAGCGATGTTTTTTCCATTGAACAGCCTGTTAACTAATTTGGGATGTGATGAATCACAGCACTTATGAATCACATTTTCAGGTTTACTTGGAACGCTGGTCATGTAAAGGGGCTGGTACCAAAACCAGTACTTAATGGAAAACCATAAGAAACGAGTAAATCTAAGTCAAGATAACAAGTAGGCATTAGCTGAAAAGGGACTTTATATTTTGTTACTTCCAACTATGTTCAGAACTGAGGATGCTTTTTGGATGAAAGGTGAAAAGTCCTCAAGAAATAAGAGAACATACGGATTGTCATAATCTGGGTGACTGAAAGTCTACATATGTGATTGTAGGTCTACTTAGTGTAAGGAGTCACTAATTCCTGTGTTTTGAGTCGGATCGAATGCTGAGTCTGACCTAGAAGTATCTGGTATCGATGAAATGAAGTTGTGTGTTTAATACCATACAAACTGCAACATTCAATAATCAATACATTGCATTAAATCAGTAATTCTACTTATAAGATAGATTTTGGAAAATTATAAAAGTTTTTAAGGTGATCCCACCAGCTCCCCCGTCTGTTCTAATAAAATTTGCAACATGGGTTTTGGAAAGGTTGTGAAAATGATTAAATCATACATCAACATGTTCATGTACCACCATGATATTTTCAAATTGACTCTGTGACAATCCTTTACTTCTTTTCATTCTTTCTCTGCTCCACAGGTACAGACTGACCACTAGTCCTCCTTTGAGTCATGACTTTCTCGCAGCTGTGAACTCTCTGCCTCCATATTGTCCTGGAAAAGCATCACCATATCGCGACCTGATCGACACGTATGGCACTCATTATATCACACAGGTGTATCTTGGAGGGGAAATAAAGGCAACAACCTCTTTTCAGACCTGCAAGGCAACCATGAATGGGTTTACAGCAACAGATGTTAGTGACTGTTTGACGGTTGAAGCATCAGCTAGCTTTGCTAACAGCGCTAGTGTTAAAGCCATGACTAAACACTGTGAAGACAAGAAGAAAAAATTGAACTCAGGACAAAGTTTCAGTTCAGAATTTAATGAGCGTTTCACAGAGGTCACTGGTGGGGATGAAATGGAAGTTGCACTTTTTGGGGGTGGTTCGGACCCTGATGTGTATAAAAACTGGTTAAACTCTCTTAAAACCATACCTGATATCGTGCAGTATAACTTGAAACCGCTTCACACCATACTTCCAGATAATCACCGTGCAAAAAAAGGCCTGAAAAAAGAAGTGGAACAGTACATTTTAAAAAATGCAGTGCTGAAAAAATGTTCTGAATCCTGTCAAATTGGACATAGATCCAACAAAAGAGATCCTTGTGCTTGTGTGTGTAACAGCAACAAGAATGTCAAGGCAAACTGTTGTCCTGGTGGAAAAGGTCTGGCAACATTGAAGGTGTATAAACTTTATGCAAGGGGGCTGTATGGTGATACCTTTGGCAAGACAGATGGTTCAGTGGAGGTTAAGTATGGTGACCAGCTAAAGCGCACCAAAATAATCAGTAATGATGACAATCCCAGATGGCCAGAAAAATTTGATTTTGGACCCATTGTTATCAATATGCAAAACAAGTTGACATTTTCTGTATATGATGAGGATACACGCTGGAATAGTGATCTGCTTGGCAAGTGCTCTTTTGATCTTCGAAAAGCGAATGTGTCAGATAGCTGCATGTTTAATCATGGAACGTTTTTCTTCTCTTACTCTGTGGAGTGTGCACCAAGTCTGGGAGGAAGTCGGTGTGATGAGTACATTTCCTCCCCCATGGATCCCTCACTGACCAAAGAGTTTTACACCAGGAATGGGGTTCTGCTGGGCAATTCCATGAAGAAGTTTTTTAAACCAACTAGACAGGCAGGTTTAGACCAGTTTTGAGATAATTTGTTGAAAAAGAAAACAAATGCATTTGCTTGTAATGTGTCTTCTTTCACTTTTGTGTGGAAAATTTTTGCAGTAAAATCATGTCACTATTACATATTAGCATAAATACCTACCGATAATCCTGCTTTTACTTTTCTTTCCTGTCTGCAAAATATTGCAATAAAGCATCCACAAAGACAATGAAGTGTCTCTTTCATTATTGTAAGTGTTAAGAGAATGTTTTATTATATTAAAATCCATATTTGAACTTCTCTAAATAGATGACTGTATTTTTTCACGTCACTAATTTTAAATACAGATAGAAGCTTCCTTTGACAGTATATTTTAGGCAATACTCACTGGGAAGTTGCTAATGTGAACAATTCTTTCTGACAATAACTTTAGTTCAGATTAGAGCACTTTTCAATCAAATAACCTGGCCAAGATTCTATCAAATGGATGAAAAATAAGCTTTCGAGTAGGATGCATTTGCAAGCTTGCAGCAGTGACGGAAGGGAATCCACTTGATGGGACAGGAAATGTCAGACACTTCATTTTGTGTGAATGATTTTGTTCACCCACCTCCTACTGACGCTGCTAAACTTTCATTCAAAATTTGATTTTGACGCTCAAAAATTACACTTTAAAGGAATTAAGTGTCAATTTTTTTCGTGTGTGTGTGACGTTTTGGTTAACTCAGAGATTTCTAGTAGTTGAGATAGAAACCTTAGATATCTTTTCAATGTTCATCCAAGCATGTAAGTGTTTATCCAGTGTGATAAGGCTTTCTGCTGCAGCAAAACAGTGTGCATGTCAGGTTAACTGGGTATTTTGTGAACTTGGTTGTTTACTCAGTGAGGTAAACGGAGTAGTAATGGCAATTTTACCTCTATTGGGCTTGTGTAGTGCATGAGAACCATGGAATATGACATTTTAACATTATACTTTTGCATAAGTTGTGGAGACTGTCATTTTGAGTGCTGGAGTAAAAGTGAATGCTATGTTAGCATTCAGTGACTTAGAGTTTGAAAGTTTGGCCGTTCCAAGCTAAAAGTAAGCACACAAAGACAGTTTAAATTTATTGTTAGAAAATGTTGATAACCTGAATAACTGCATGGATTTTTTGTGGATCAAATATTCACAATGGCCATTTGACACAATTTTATTTATTTATTATTATTTTTTACTTTTTGGTTAACTCTACTACTATCTCTAGTAGTTGAGATAGATACCTCAAACATAGAGTTTCAATGTTCATCCAAGCATGTATGGGTTTATCCAGTGTGCTAACTGTTTTGGTTCTGCTGCACCAAAACAGTGTGCATATCAGGTTAACTGGGGATGTTTTGTGCTTAGTTGTTTGCTCAGTGAGGTAAACAGAGTATTAATGTCAATTTTACCTCTATTGGAGAACCATGGGATATGACATTTTAACATTATACTCTTGTATAAGTTGTGAAGACTATCACTTTGAGTGCTGGAGTAAAAGTGAATGCTATGTTAGCATTCAGTGACTTAGAGCTTGGAAGTTTGGTCATTCCAAGCTAAAAGTACATCTAAAAAAGATTTAGTCTGTCCAAAAGACAGACTACATCTTTTGTTAGAAAATGTTGATAACCTGAATAACTGCATGGATATGTTGTGGATTAAATATTCATAATGGCCATTTGACACAATTTTGTTTTGCAGTTTTCTACAATGATTACAAATTTTGTTTTCAGATTGATATATTCAAAGCGATGGTTTTTATTAAGGAATGAAAGTGTTGTTTTAATGGGACGATAATCTTGAGGATTTGATGAGGCCAAGTAGAAGAACATCTTCTCAGGTAGTTGAATGTTGCCACCTCAGGGTTACCCATTCCGACATTAGTCATGTTTTTAGGTTTAAGGATTGACCAAAATACAAGACATGAACTTAGAATGGGCATGCTGAAAACTTTAATCGGGGAAACATAAATTACATGGTTTGAACCAGTGGTGTTCCCAGAAAATGTACTTTTCAGAGTGTTGACCAGACTAGGCCAGTAAAAAGTTTGAGATAGCACACCTTAAGAAAATGGTGGAGAACCAGCAATGAAAACCTCATAAACTGAGGAGAGAGTGGAAAATGACATAGAGTGCAGGTGAGTTAATCAGGGAATTAAGAACAAGGGAGATGAAACAGGGAGACTTAGTGAAGGTAAATAATTGACACAAATAAAGCTGAGGCACAAAGGAACTACAAATCAAGGGGACACTGATCTATAATAATAAATTCATATGAACAAAGAAAATAATATGACAAAGTGAATTTATATGGCAACATATCTAAAGCAATAATGAATATAGAAAGATCAACTAAACACAGCAAGACTTGAGAAACTTTCCATATGAAACATCTTTAGTTCAGAATGCCTGCAGAAACACATTTGATCAAGTGACAGTTTGACTTAGTTTTGAATATTTGAATGCAGAATTATCCATGTAGTAATTTAATAATTTGTCTCTCTATTAGAATAGTCTGGGAAGGCAGTGCATAGTAACAATGATGTATTTAGCAACTCATAGAAAAGCGTAGTTAAGAGAATGCTGAATCTGAGAACAGTAAAAACATAATTCTTGTACAACACCACCATCTAGTGGGCATTCTAGTCATGAGTTATATCTTGCTGCTTTCACTTATTTCTGAACGCTCTTGTGAAAAGTCTTCCTGTTTAAGAAGTGCAACACGCCGTTTAGTCTAGATTAGCTGTTCTCANAAATTCTTTTACAAGTGTATATATCCATGTTCCAAAACATGGTGTATCGAAAATGTGGAATTTATATTAACCTGACAAAAGTTTACCGAGTCTTCTGCTTTAAAAGAAAAAGGAAAATTGATTGAGTGTAGAAAGTTACATTTTCTGAAAATTCACCAATGCGATTGAGAAATTATCAGACATACGTAAGTATTATACTGGCTTTACACCAGTTCATAATCTGTTAACCGTACTTGATAACATCAGCTTGTTCAAGAACTACAGGTGGAAATGAGCATTTTTGGTTATAATCTGGTATCATGTAAATAAATAATCATGAAAAATAGAACATAAAGCGAGAACCACAACAATAAGAAATTAAAGCTATATATATATATATATATATATATATATATATATATATATATATATATATATATATATATTTTTTTTTTTTTACCTAACAATATAAAACAAAATTAGATAAGGTGAAAATAAAATATACTATGTTCAAAAGAAGCTGGAACTTTATTCATGAAAACTTTTAGGGAAGTCTCCAAGATACATGGAAAGATTCAAGCACTTATGCTGAAGAGATAATTTTAATACCTCATCTATCACATAAGCTGGACCAAAGACAGCTTTAACATGTTAAGAGGGTATAACAAGTAAAAACCCTTTTAAAGTACACGTGAAGTGGTGAGAAAATGGATGATGGTGGCAACAAAGAAAGAACTTCGTCACACACTCGATGGGTTGCCAGTTTGATTCCCGCTCCGGCTACTTCAGTCTGGTGTTGTTGGTCAAGATCCTTCACCCTCCTTGCCTGCTGGTGGTGCCAGTGCATTGTAGCCTCACCTCTGTCAGACTGCCCCAGGGCAGCTTTGGCTACTATGCAATAGCTTGTCACCATCAGCAGGTGAATGGCCCATGTGAGAAGATTATCACATCTGAAGGAGCTACAAAGATTTGCCAAAGACATGTTATTCTACAATAAATGACTTCATGCTGTTATCCAGCAAAAAAGGATACGCAACTATTAATTTCAAAGGGGCTGATAATTTTGACCCTGGTAGCTTTTGGTTTTTGTGAAATAATGTGGTTTCTGTGTGCAAAGCAAACATGCTACCTTTGAAGGAAGCATAGAGACGTTTTCTGTGTGGATGCAAGCTTGAAGACACTTGTTCATTTGTGGAGCTAGTGGTCCCTCTGCTGGATGACTGAGGGAGCATCCAGCAGAGAGATCATCCAGATAGCCCACGAGTCAATCACATGGTACTACATGCATTTAGGCTTCTAGACATGATGAAAAACACTTGATGAAGTTCAAGAGTAGGATCAAAATGGGGAATAATCTTCAAATCCACCTTTCATGTTTACAATGAAAGGCGAAATGTTCCAAAAAAAAAGAGAGAAAAACATCCAGTGAGCAACAGTTGTGGTGTTTGTTATGTGGCATGTGTGTACCTTCATGCCAGATGCAGTCTTGATTTGAATAAAATCATTAACAGAATCATGGAACCATCTTGATAATACTTTTTTCCAGAGCAAAAGGGTCGTGGTAAATACAGACAACCAACTTATCCACATGATTTGATTGGACAGCTAAGACATGACTAGACTGAATCAAATAGTATCTGGCTTCCTTCACTTTACAGTACCTCAAATGCTTGGCACATCTAAATCCAAGTTACATGCATATATAACATGGGGGCTGAATTAGTGTCTAAATATTATCTTGAAGACTTCCATTTTATCCAGAATCTTCTATTTTAGAATCGCCACACTGGCTTCCTTTAAATTAACAGATTCTTCTCATTCCGTACACCACTTGTCTGGCCCAACTTACCTATAATTAGTCAAATATTTAGAACTTCAAAATAAAAAAATCCTTATTTCACCTTATTTTTGTGTTTTTATGGTGTAAAACGTTGAACTACCTTGTTGCTGAAATGTGTTGTACAAATAAACTTGATTGATAGAATGATTAAAGTCATTATGGCCTCTTGGCTCATTCTCTGATTAATGCCTCGTCATATAAGTTGGCAATAAACTGGTATTTTTGCAGTTCTTCCATATGCTGTCTCCTTTCAAATGCTAGACTAAACGGAGCTTTTGTCTGATATTAAGAGCTTGGAATATTACTTTATAAAATAACCCTTCTTTAAATCTTTCTACAAAATTCTCCTTGACCAGTCTGCTGCATGTCTTCCTTTTTACAAGGAAGAAGTTTGACCATATGAGACGATACGATCTTGCGAAAACAGAGAAGCAAAGCTGACCACAGGCAGAACGTGTGAATTTGTTGCTCGTGTACAGAAACTAGTTTGCCTTTATCTAGCACAATCTTTAAAGAAATAACAACACGTAGAAAACATCCCCATACGGATGTTGCAATCTTCTAAGCAAAATCTCATGATAAGAGAATCATGTCAAATTTTCATCACGAGATAACAAGTTTTAAAGAACAGAGAACAGAAAAAGAGTACAGCTTCGCCATAATGCTACAAGTAATGTTAAAGGGAAAAAAAATCAGAACATTGGCCTCTAGTCAAAGCTGAGTTTAATAAGTGTACCACAGAATTTATTGATAGGAACAGAAATTGTATTGCTATTAATTTGCTCACAAAAACCAACACTGATACAACTTTGGATATTGTTTTGTAACCTAAATTTGCTTAAAACATCTCCAGAATTTACTTCCTGACTTGTTTTCTGTGTTTCTTGGTTTTCATGTTGCTTTTAATGTTCTCTAAATAAAACCTTTAGGCCTTCACAGAGCATCTGCCTTCATATTGAGACGCATAGGACAACTGTTTTTACTGATCAGGTGACTTTTGAAGGCAATCTGGTGAATTAAATTCTGTTTGAGTTTTACATCAAAGGAGGCTACGTGCAACCACTTCCAGATTTTAATTTGTAAAAAGTTCAAAAAGTATGTATTCTTTAAATACAAATTCATTCATCAGCTACCTTATGGGGGGCCTGGTTTGCACTACAGACACAGTTCAGTCATTAAGCACCAGCTGTGATCATCGTACTAACTGCTTGCAACTAGAAAGGCATTCTTGTTGCTGGTCTATTTGCTGGCCAAATCATGGATGTGGGTTCTTTGTTAAAAAGAATAATGACTTATACTATAACAATGAAAAGCTTATACATTATCAAACAAAGCTAAAAGATGAAAATCTGACACACAAAACTATTTTGCAACACCATATGAAACCAGTACATTTTAAAGAAGGCCATAACTAGATAAGTAAAAAAAAAAAAAAAACCTGCAAAGGAAAACAGACCTATTGAAATTAGGCATAAGTGCACATTTGAAGTCACACCATGCTCATTTTAATAGATTTCCTAAAAAGGTAATAAGTAAATAAATAAATAAATAGAATAGAATAGAATAGAATAGAATAGAATAGAATAGAATAGAATAGAATAGAATAAAATGGTATTATGAGTGGATCAAGCACAATGCCTGTTCCAGAGCTTTTCACTGTTGACTGAGTAAGCTGTCTGGGTAAAAGAGAAGGGGGCAGAGAGGATGACCAAAAAGGAGATTTATAGATGTGGTGGAAAAGGACATGAAGTTAGTGAGTGTTAGCGTGGAGGACGCAGTGGACATTGAGACAGATAATTTTCTGTGGCAACCCCTGAAGAGAAGAGCTTTGTTTGGTGAAATTATTTTTGCGTTTGACTGACTGTCCAGATCACATTGAAACTAAATGTTGGTTTGGACTTTGCTAATATCATTTGCTATATTATCTTAAGTATTAAAGTCATAAGCAGAAGGGATCAGCAGGCCCCACTGTGTACTGAGCCATTGTGGTGTTTTTTGTACCATGTGATATGATATTTATTTAAAAAAAAAGATGTACATTAAACACTAGAAAGAAGTATTAGTCTTTTTCAGTTAAGTAATAACCCCTTTTCAGATTACATCCATAATTAAATTGAATATAATGGCTTAAAAAGATATAATCAAGATGTTCAAGAACAGCTGCATTCATTAAAGCTTACATAAAATCAGATGGAGTTTTAGAAAATATTTAAAGAAAGATCAGGTTTAGATAATACTTCATGATAAATACAGGCAGTATTCCATTTTACTATGTGACATACAGAAGATGCTTGATCTTATTTTGAAGAGAAATACTTTTATTTACTAAGTAGTCTCACTACACCAGAAATGGCAACTTTCCTCATTCTAAAAAGTAATGTCAAATTGTGAAAAATGCATAATGCTAAAGGTTTACCAAAAATGAGATGTGTGATTTTTTTTGTGGTTTTCTTATGTTAAAGCTGTTAAAGATAATTTGCACGTCTGGCAACATTTTGTAGCAACACTTCCTTTAGGGATCATTGCCCATCAAACTTATGTTATAAGCTTTTCAAAAACAAGAAGTCTGATTATATAATACAGTTTAATTCAGCAATTGCTTTTAGCAGAATGCAACTCTGAGATTAGTGACTTAAAAATATGAGATGCATCTCATAAGCTTCTTGTCATTTATTGGATTTTTTCTTCTATATTTGACAACAATACTAAAAATTGTTTTTTTTTGTCTGCAGGAAAATAGATTCAATTTGTCTTGTTCTGAGTATTAGTTGCTAAAAACCTGCAATACACACATCATTGTGATCTAAATAATCAAAAGGGCATTTAAATGAGCATATATTAAGATTACTATGCTGCTTGCATGTAATTGGCAGGGGTGTAACAGTACACCCTGTTCACAAGATAATACACAATAAGAGGCTCTTAATAAAACCAGGCTTCATTGTTGTTATCATGGGATATAGAACAAAAGCAGATAAGCAATATGCCAGCTGGAGCGTGCATATTGCAGTAAGAGGAAGAGGAAATTTTGACAAATACCCAAAGGGAACTGGGGGCTGGTTTGCACAACAAGTACAGTTCAATCGTTAAGCACCAGCTTTCCTCAGATCCAACAGTAACTCCCAAAGGTAGACACAGTCATCTAGATCTGACACCTCAACAGTCATGTCTTGCAGAAGAACTCAGTCAGTCCCTTGTTCCATTTGAGGGCGCATCTGTTTTACTGAGTGGATAAGAATGCAACCCTGTCTGCCCTCCTACAACTTGTCAACTTGTCCGTAACCTTAAGAAAGCCGCATAGGGTTCAGACTTTCAAGCAGCACCAGTGAAGGCCTTCCAGACCTGATATTACATTAAGGCGGGATAAAGTCTTTGTGTTCAAGCCAGAATGCCCCAACATCTTAATTTCTGCTGTGTTTGATCCCAGATTCAGGAGACTTAAATTGCACCTCCTGAATTAGTAGCCAACGTGCAAAGCATGGTGCATGACCCTTCAAGTGAAGAAATCAATGAAAACAAGTAATGATCCAGACTCCAGTGAACAGGCAGACAAAGAGAAGAACACTTTTTGTTCCTGGACAATGTACGGGAATCATCATCTGACTCAAGTGCAAGTGATGATGAAAATACAAAATAAAACCCACTCCTTTGGTGGGAAACAGATGAAGGATGTTGTCCAACTCTGGCAAAACAAGCAAAGTCCTTTCTGTGCATTCCAGGCGCCTCCACAATCAGAACGGCTGTTTTCAGCTGCTGGGAATACAGGTACTAATGGCAGGGCAAGTCGGAGTTCTGAGCATATAGAGATGCTGACTAGGTTAATTGATTACTAAAATAATGGATAGTTACCATCCAAGTTGTTTTATTAACCAGGACAGAAAGGTTAATAAAATGTTGGAAGTTGCAAAACAGTTAGAGGAAATCCAACATGATTAACCACTTCCCCATGTTGTTTTTTTTTTTAAGTTTGAAAGAAGTAAGGGAAAAAATTGCACAAGTATCCATGTGGGTGCAGCAGTTGGTATGAAACTAAGCTGATAAGAAAAGCTCCACCTTCACATCAATGGTATAAGATCAGCCAGACCCTTGACAGACGATCAGAGCCTGAAGTCTTCCGTCAAAGTAAGACTTTAAAAACTTTCCCCAAAACTGAAATTTTTGCTGTTCCAAATTCTATATAATAGGACTATTTACTAAAAATCCTGAAGCAGAATTTTCCTGTTTGCATGTGTATGTTTGTGAATCCTTTGTCATGCTATTTAAACATTTAAATTATTCTTTTCACAGATGACTAGACTTCTGCAGCTCCTGCTCCTGACCTGGACATTCAGTCCTCTGTGTCTCTCAACCACTGTGAGTTTCATTGGTTCACCAGAGCAATGTAAAACTGCTCACTTTGTTCCAGGTTACAACCTGGGAGGAGAAGGCTTCGACATTGTCAAAATGCAAAGAAAAGCTGCCTATGTCATCGACACTGAAACATGGGACCTTGGAAATGGCACTTGCAGAATGTACGGAAACATCTACCAAAATGGAGAGAAACAAAAGGTCCCAGTTTCAGTGGTGGACTGGAGAAGCATCCCAAAATGCAATTTGAAGATCTCCAGTATGCTCTATGATTCTGTTGAATCTCTCATCAATGGTTCCACATCATCGATTTCCAACAACTGGAAAATTGGTCTTAATATCCCTGTAGTCGGTGTTGGTGTTGGTTTTGGAGGGTCACACTCCAGGGTGGCTGAATTTGGCATGGCAAAGTCAAAACAAGACCGCTACACATTTACCCGCCATTCTGTTAGCTGTAGCTACTACAAGTGAGTACAAAAACAGACATTGCTGTACAACTTCAAATTCTTTTCATTAAGCTAATGTGCATAAAGTATGACTGTGACAAAAAGTAACTTGTTTTATCTGATTTCATTCTTTCCATAGCTACAAACTGACAACAAGCCCACCTTTGCATCATGAATTTGAAAAGTCTGTGAAGTCTCTTTCTCCACATTCTTCTGAGATACCTTACCGCAATCTGATCGATACTTATGGCACACATTACATCACAAAGGTTTTTCTCGGAGGGGAGATAAAAGCAACAACATCGATTAAGACCTGCCAGGCATCCATGATCGGGCTGTTGGCAACAGAAGTTAGTGACTGTCTGTCGGTTGAAGCTTCAGTTAACTTTAAAAGTACGGCGAGCATCAATGCTATGTATGGACACTGTCAGGAAAAAAAAAAGAAACTGATCCATGGTGGAAGTTTCAACGCTGTGTTTAGTGAACGTATCACAGAAGTTGTTGGTGGGGACAAAAATGATGTCGCGTTCTTCCAAGGGTATGTTGATCCCAGTGTCCATATCAGGTGGAAAGAATCTCTTAAAACTACACCTGACATCGTGAGTTACAACCTGAAGCCTCTGCACACAATTCTGCCAGATGGTCATCCTGCCAAAAACGGGCTTAAAGGAGAGGTGGAAAAGTATATCAAGGAGAATGTACTGATAAGAAAATGTTCAGAATCCTGTCAAATTGGCCACAGATCCAGTAGCAGAGATCCCTGTGCTTGTGTGTGTAACAGTAATCATTTTATCAAATCAAACTGCTGTCCTGCTGGGAAAGGTTTCGCAACATTGAAGGTGTACAATCTTTATGCTAGGGGACTGTATGGTGATTGGATCACTCAGACAGACGGTTCAGTGACTGTTAAATACAGTAACCAGGAAAAGCGCACTCAAACGATAGATAATAATGATAACCCCAACTGGTCAGAGTCATTTGATTTTGGACCCATTGTTGTAAATAGCCATGACAGACTGACTTTCACGGTTTATGATGACGATATATGTTGGAGAAGGGACCTCCTTGGTAGCTGCTCCATTGACCTTCGTAGAGGAAAAGTTTCAAACAGTTGCATGTTTACTCATGGTACCTTTTATTTCAGCTACTCAGTGGAGTGTGCACCAAGCCTTGGTGGCAACCAGTGTGAGGAGTACATTCCTTCTCCCATGGATCCACCTTTGGCTAAAGTTTTCTACTCCAGAAACGGGGTTCTGCTTGGAGATTCAAAGAAGGGGTTTGTTAAATCTGCTCCTCAGCCAGATTTGGGCCAGCTGTGAGACGATGACAATGACAAGGATTTTGATTTGAATCATTTTTGCTTGTGGCATTTCTATCTTTGACTTTTATATTAATAAAAAGAACAGTTTGCAAATTCAATCTAAATGTGATAATCTGTACTGATAACTTTTCTCTCTGTTTCTTCCTTTGTACTCGCAAAATACTGCAATAAAGCATTCATAAAGACAACAGTTGTTTCCATGTTGTAATTTGAGTATGACAAATGAATATTTTGACTTAAGAAGCTCTCATGCACATCATCAACAGAAAGTTACACACAAATTTGTTGCTCACATTTTTTAGAAACATATTCAAATTCTTTTACAAGTGTATATATCCATGTTCCAAAACATGGTGTATCAAAAAAAAAAGTGGAATTTACATTAACCTGACAAAAGTCTACCGACTCTGAATTCTGCTTTAAAAGAAAAAGGAAAATTGTGTGTAGAAAGTTACATTTTCTGACACAAAATAGTGGCCCTTTAACAAAATTAGGATGCCATCTTCAAGCTGGCATCTTGATATGACATCTTTACAGAGCAAAATTGTCTTGGCACATAAAGACGACCAGCTTATCGGCCCATCCTGTTCATCATATTTAAAATGATATCCAAATCTGGTACCTGCATGTATAACCTGTGTACTCAATTATTACAATGCAAACTTAACTGAACGTCCAAATAGTTATTTTTGAAGTCTACCATTTTGTCCCTTAGCCTGCAGTAGGAGATCTGACTGGAGATGTGAAACGGACCCACATTTTTTCTGTTTTTGTGTTCATGCATCAACGCCCTTTAAAATTTACAGATAAATATAATCCTTCTCATCCAGCACAAAGTTCTAGTTTTAGAAGTTTTGAAAGATATAACAATTTCATCCGCCTAATTTTCATTCGTTGTATAAAACTTTCTATATAATGCAAGTGATTATTATTTGATTAAATGAAGTGTAAAAATCAGTGAAATAAACAAAACTATTTGTGCCACAACAGTTGTTACACAATAGCACCATCATGTGGATACTGAACATTATAACCCTTTTTATTAATCCCAATCCCACCTTTGGCTTTTAGCAAAAGTTAAATCTTACTTCTGTTTTAAGGACTTTGAAGGACTTATCCATGCCTTCATAACAACTCGTCTGGATTACTGCAACTCTTTATATAGAGGGATGGATAAATCACAGATTCAGTGACTTCAAATGATCCAGAACGCAGCAGCACGGCTTCTTACAGGAACCAGGAAGCATAACCATATAAGGCCAACTCTGGCATCTTTACACTGGCTGCCCATCTTTTATCGAATAGATTTTAAGATTCTTTTGTTAACTTATAAAGTTTTAAATGGGTTAGCCCCCCCTTATCTTCGGGACCTTTTAAATTTCCGGTCTGTGTCCAGAACTTTACGATCAAATAATCAGTTATTACTGACAGTTCCTCGGACTCGACTTAAGAGGAAAGGAGATCGAGCTTTTTCTGTTGCTGCTCCTGTTTTATGGAGTTACTTACCTTTCCAGATTAGATCTGCCCACAGCCTGGATCATTTTAAATCACTTCTTAAAACTCATTTTTACTCTTTGGCATTTAATTGATGTATTGTTTTGTGCTCTGTTTTGTCATTTGTGTTATCGTTCTTGTACAGCACTTTGGTGCAGTTTTATACCTGTTTTAAAGTGCTATATAAATAAATTTGACATTGACATGTTTGTTTTCAAAACTTTTAAGGCTGTATTATGATGTAACTTTTATTTAAAAAAAAATGCTTTTTTTAAAATTTTTTTACATATTTTTTAAACTATTACCAGATCATGACAGGTAATGGATCAGATTGCCTGTCTCAACAATGAGACAGACAATCTGATCCTCCACCTAGTGCTACTTTTGCTGTATAAAGAAAATCAGCGTCAAAAACAACCAGTCAGAAGAACATGCTGGCGTTGTCAATCACCCTTGTATATGTGCTACTAAATGTGCTAATGGCACAAAAACAACTCACCTTAACAGAAAAACTGTTTAGCGGCTTCTTCTTGCCGATAGCTCTGGGAGTACTGGGAGAAGGCAGGGGAGCTTGAATTTTCCACAGATTATCATACTATGCAACATATACGTAAAAAATATATATAAAACTTACACACTGCAGCTATCAATCAAGCAATTAGGATAGGAAATCCAATATGCTTTTTTTTTTTTGAGTAAATCTACCCTTGTTATGATCTTGATTTGCTTGAGTATGTTTTGGTTTTATATGTGTTTCTTTGGTTATCTATTTAATCTGCCATATTTAAATTTTCACTTCATTAAGGTTTATTTCTTGTAGTCCTTTCTTAGCTATTCTAGTTTGAGTGTTCTGTGTTCCTTACTCTTTATTAGATCAGCCTAATTTCTGTTTTATTTCTGTTCAGTTCTTCTTAGTGTTTCCACTCAAGTTTATTTTCAGATTTCTACTCTAGTTTATCATGTTTCTTTAGTCTAGTTATTCTTTAATGTTAGACTTACTTTCTGATTCCCGGTGTACTCGCTCTCATCTCTCTTCTGTCTGCCTCCTGCTGTCTCTATTTTCACCTGTAGTCAGTTAGCTCGTCAGCCTGGGTCTTTTGTTTAACATTCAATATCCTCGGTATTTAAGCTTCTCATTTTCGGTCATTACTCGCCGGATCCTTTCGTCTACTCCTGTCACTTTCTAGTTCAGCCCCCTGGTTGAAACCTTGCTGGTTTCCTTCCTTTGTATTTTATTTTTTTGCTCTTACTCCTTATTCCGTCATGGATTTTCTTTGTTTGCATATTTTTATTAATGCATGTGGGGAATCATTTTCTCTAAGATACGCCTGAAATGCCAGACAGGACACACTGAAAGATTAAAAATAAAATAATGGTAATAGTAAGCTTTCATGAAAAACATTATAGTTGCATTTTTATACTTTCCTTATGTTGTTGTGCAACCTTTAAGAAAACATCTGCAAGGAAATCATCATCAAAGACAGTAGTACTGTTATGATGTGAATTTAATTTTGAGTAGAATATTGGATGTGCATACTCAACTGTAATACATGGAGAAGAAGTGCAGCTTCAAGAAATGAATGTTCCAGTCATGATCTCTAGGATTTAGGGTTTCTGTATATTACTAAGTTTGCATCTCTGTTTATTTTAGTGCTTAATGTATCTAGAAATGGAATATTTTCTGCTCAGCTTTTCCTGGTTCACTCTGTGTCTTTCCTCGGTATCTCATCCAACTGTTCTCGGTTAGCTGTTCCTCATCTGCTGACTAACTCGCCTTTGTAACATTCCAGTAATCAACCTCCACAGCATTAATAGTTCTCATTCTAAAATCCTCTGTTGTTGTTGCCAGCCTGTTCTTGTTGTTTTCTGTGAACCTATGCCAGCCTCTGGTTCTGTTCATCATCAGAATCCAGATTCATCATGCATCTCCCATATTCTTCTCTTCTTTTGGGTCTACAACAATGATAGGATCACGATAGCACCAGTGTCAGTGTTTGACACAAATTTCTATGGTTGCGTCTAAAAATTCCACAACATGAGGTTTTTGACATGCTAAAACCCACACATTTGCAGTAAATTTTGCGACAGAATTGCAGCAAAGGCCTATATTTACATTACTTACCTCATGCGACACTGTGCTGAAGTTCTGTCTGCGCTAATAAAGATTCAGTCACTTCAGGATGCTGAGTGGTTGAAGAAACTCTGCCTGACACATTCACACTTGTTTTCTGATAAATTCATGTAAGAGTTATTTGACTACTGAGTATAAAGGGTTCATGTTCAAAACTAAGTACAGAAAAATATAAAACGGGACCATGACATTATGGCAAGAGTAATATATACAGTCAGTTTTATAACCTGCATCCTGATACACAACATGTGCAATCTTAGGATGCAATAAAAGCAACAGTCATACTTCACAAAGTTAACACGACTTGATGTTTCACAAAATGTGCTTCATTTGTTTATGCTTAGCTCCATGCAAGACTCGTTCTTAGATACACCGTTTCCTATTTGGTGACACAGAAAACACCGATAGTTTCCCACTATTAACAAAATATCAATGTGATTTATTTTACTTGTCAGGAGAAAAGCTACAAATCAAAATGTATATATATATAAGGAAATCTGAAATGTTTAAAAAAACTGGTTTCACTTTTACAGGACTAATAAAAAGAAAGGTGCAAATATGCCAAAAATACTGTGAGAAAAATACAAGACACAATTTCCCGCTACCCATTGTAATGCAATATTAATATGGTACTTCAAAGAGCCTTTTAAGTTTTTTCTTGAATAAACAAAAAGCCTTTTCTGAGGATTCTTTAATTTTAGGGCTTTCATTTCTAACAATGGATTCTTTTTAATATGGTTTACAGAGGAAAACCAGAAAACATGATTTTCAGTTTGGTAAATATAGAAACTCTCTTAAAGAACTTTTTTTTTTTTTTTTTTTTTTACAAAACTAGAGAGCCACTGAAGACTATTACACTACATGACCTTTTCTTTTTACACAATTGGTGACAGTTGAATAACAAACCTTGAAGAAAACAAATAGAGAAGATGAAGAGCATTATCTACTTCAGAACCTAAAGAACAGAATCCAACCTCAAACTAAGCAGATTATGGAGGGTTCTTCTCAAGGAGATCTATGATGACAACAATGGGCAGGGCACTGTGTACCTGGAACTGAGTCTGGTACACAGTGATTCTGTAAACTGATGCAAAGGTGTTGATACAGTACACTACAACAACTCTCTGATGTATAATGAAAAACAGCAGATGGAGCCACATCAAAGTATCAAGATCCAAGCCTTTATCCTCGCTTTCCTTGAGCTTCCAATCAAACAATGACCCCTTCATGAGCAGCCATTATTCAGACTCAGCCCGTCTTCCAAAACAGGTCATCCAGTCCTTCAACTTGACAGTCTCCTGCTGGTCTGGCTTATCCACACCCCATTCCTTTCTCCTTCCCTTGCTCTTGGAAGAAAAGACACAGAGACAAGGGATTTGCCTCACGGTAGGTAGCCGTTTTATGTGTAGCGTATAAAAAAAGAGGGTTTCTCTTTGTGTGTGTGTGTGTGTGTGTGTGTGTGTGTGTGTGTGTGTGTGTGTGTGTGTGTGCGTGTGTGTGTGTGTGTGTGTGTTACATGGTGGGACTTTGCAAAGAGAGCCAGGAGCCCACTTGAGGAGCATTGGGTTTTAGAACTGGATGATTTGTTTGGAGAAACCCTCTAGACCCAAAAGGAGGATTAGCTGCACGCAGGTTCCCATGAAACCAAGATGAAGTGAAGAGGCCTTCACGGACTGCTGCACCTCTGCATGATTATATGCACAAAGACATACCTGAAATACAGTACAAGCATGAGCAGCATGACACTTTTTCAATCTTTATTTAAATATGTGATTCTATTCACACACCAATACAAAGGTTACCTTTATTAGGTAGGACATTTACAGCTTTTCCATGACCTCCATTTCTGTATCGGATTTCCACAACTTACAGAAAAGGCCAAAAAAGTTACATTTTTTTTTTGTTTTTACCCTTTTCTGTTGTTTTTTTTTTTTGTATGGATCAGGGTTCTGTATTTTTGATAAAGTTTGAACTGAATTTCTACTATCACCTGGGTCTCATATATATATATATATATATATATATATATATATATATATATATATATATATATGAATAAAAGTACTAAATAAAAAAAATAAATAGCACTTAGGTGAAGAAAGCACAGTCTCTCTGAACGGGTCATCATCTCGAGTTCCTGTGCTGTAGGGCAGAAATGTTTTTCCAGGTGCAAACGCTGCCATCTGCTGGTCAAGATAGAAAAAAATATCTGTAATCTTGAGTGAAATTAGTAACTCCATCTTGAGGAAAATCAAATCTATCTGCCAGCTGAAGCTGTAAACTTTACAATATCTGCTGGATTTTTCCGGTCAGTGTGGAAAAAGCATGTATGTTTATTTTTCATACATGCAAAAAGTATTTTACAACAAGCATATTAATTAGGCTTTGACATGAGTAAAGACAGAGGTACAACAATTTATTAACTCCTTGCACGTTTAAAAAAAGTTTTTTACATTTGTAACTGGAATATTGTCAAACATATTAAGGTCATGATAAGTATAATAGTAAACAAAACCCTGCAGTCAGTGGCTGTCTGCAGTATACCTGTGTGGTATGTTGTAGAAACCATACCACGCATAATGCTTTCACTCATGACAGCTGTATTAATGGGAGTGTTAAGCACCCACTCTCTTACAAGCATTTAGTTTCTTTGCAACTTGTTACCGAGCCCCAAGCCTCTTAGTGACAGCCAATGTGTGAAGGAACTTGAACTTGCAAGACAAGGATGATATTTATGCTATACGCATCTTCTGATATGCAGTACGTATAAGTTTGTTAGTTTATTTGGATACCCATTGCTGTAACAATGGCTACTCTTCCTAGGGTCCACATCCCTGGGAAGAGTAGCCATATACCTAATTAACTTCATTATATGAATGTAGTTTGAATGCCGCATGCTGTTAGATCCCCATGGTGAGATCACAATGACAGCAGCTGCCATGAATAACTACTCCTATCGTCAAATCAAGCATTTGCTGTAGTTGTCCACAGTAACCTGGGAAATCTTGGGTCCCTTTCATCTCCTCAGTGTGCAAGACTGAACAACTGGTCACCGTCAACACTTCCTTGTGCATGCCACAGACAGCTCCTCTCAGCCTGGTGGCAGACATAGTGGAGATTAGCATGCCAGCAGTTCTCTTGCCTAAAATCTTTGACAGCATTAGCACATGCTCAGTCGAGGGCATACACAAGAGCCAGCTGTCAAGTGAAGGGGGTTCCTGGTGCTTTGTTCAAGGTTGCTCTCACCATTTAAAGCAGTGGTGCTCCATCATGACTCCCATGGTAGGTGTTAATTTGGTAATGGTAACACATTTCCATGGATGTCGACGTGTTTGAAAAACAGCTTTTCCACAGTTTCTCCACAGAGCCTGGAAAGGAATCACTGTAACTACATAGGACAGATTTCTCTATTCTTGTCCCCTATATACCATAACACCACTAGCCTGGACTGCGGATACAAAGCAGGGTGGTTCGATGCCTTGTATTTTATTTTTTTTTATTCTGAATAATCATTTGAATGTTGTATCTGAAATGTTAGTGAACCTGTCCTTTGGTGGCAAGAGTGTGGTTTTCTGCCACTCTAGATCGTCTACTTTAAGGTTCGATGTGCATTTTGGAACATTATTCTTCACACCTTTGTTGTGACAAGTGATTATTTCAGCTACTGTTGCTGTTTTATCATCTCAAACAAGCCTGCCAGTTCTCCTCTGACCTCTGAAATTAACAAGGCATTTTTATCCACACAGTCATGGCTCACTGAACAGTTTCTCAGAACATTCTCTTTAAACCCAAGAAAGAGGTTGTGGGTGAAAATTCCAGTAGAGTTTGGCAGCAGTTTCTGAAATACACAACCCAGCCCATCTGGCACTAACAACCGTAACATTTTTAAAGTGTCTTCATCCCCATTTCCCTGTATACGTCAGATTAATTTACTTGTCAGCGTTTACTTTTAGAGCTCCAACATCTTCATAAGGTAAATATATTTGCTTTTAAATTTTAAAGTTCATGTTCCATCATATTTAATGGATCTGGTAAATCATTAAGTTCATAGATGCTCCTAGGTTTTATTCACTTTTATTTTGAATTGTAATGTTTTTTCCCCACCTTGTGACATTTCTATTTACCTCATATTAAGCAATAAATACCGTGTAGGTGAAATAAATAACTTACAATGAAATGCATTTCGTTTTATGATCAGTTTTTGGTTTGCTGAAAAACAAAATATGTTGAAAAAAAATTACAATTTACATTTACAATAATCCAGTGCTGCTGATTCAGTGCTTACCATGAGCCCCTGTGGAAATTTACTCATCAATGATGAACATTTGATTGCTTGTGTCAGGTCAAAGATAGTGTTCTTCACTTGTTTCGATAGGGTTGTTTTACCAAATAGAAAGTTTCTGCAATGTGTGGGCAGGAGCAGATATGATTGGCTTGAGGCAACTCTAACAATTCACGCTGATTTTAATTACAGCCAACAGGGAGGTGCACACCACATTAAACACACCAAGCACGCAGGGCTACGTCTCAGGCAAAGTCGTCCTCTGTGTTTTATCCTTCCTTGTCACTCTTGCTAGTCATCCCACCTCTGGATGCCCCCTCCTTCACTTTAATCCAGTGGCGGAATTTCACTCGACAAGTGATCAAAGACCAGTAGCACGATGCCAGGTGCGGCTGTAGCTTCAACTGTTGACAACCACCTAGCAATTTTTCCTACTTTCCTTCTTTCCCCTTTCTGAAAAAAAAAAAGAGCAGAAAACCTAAACAAGGCTTGGTGAACCGCTGTGAGTTTGAGTCTCTGAAAAACAGTTTCTTCTTTTTTTTTGCAGAAAGGGAAGTTGGTATAGTTGTTTCCTTCTTTTGACGGTGATCTGTGCTACCTTCTCTTCCTCCCCCTCTGCGCACTGTGTGGTGGCCGGTTTGAGGAGTTCTGTGACAGTAAATTACGGTACACTTGAGACAGACGAGCAGCAGGAGTTGCAGAACAGAGAGAGGAAGCGCGGCGGGGTTTAGGCTTTATTAAGACTCAACCACCAGTCACTGGCACAACAATCCAACATGTAGGTGAAGGATGCAGCACAAAGTATCTTTCTCAACCTATAGGTGGTCTACCAGTGAAGTAAGATTCACATCAGCTATAATGGGTATCTCATGTCAAAAAGTGTCAGAAAGTGTTATTGGAGAATTTTCTATGCTACAGATGGACAATACTGTACTGTTAACCAGCATCAGTTAAAGGTTAATAGTACAATTAGGGTGCAGTGACCTGGAGCTCATTAAAAGTTGCTTGCTGAATGGAAGTGATGTTAAGATTTGTTTTTCAATTTCTTAAATCTACAACTGTGCTTGTTAATCTATGGAGAACAAGCTGTGATTGAAAAAAAAAATCATTCTACGCAGACACACAACTTGCATCCTGTCTCAAAATTAGGTAGGTAGGATTAGAATAATCAAATGTAAGTTTTTTTTCTGTACAACAAATGCGATGATTAGAAGGTCTCAGACTGAAAGACTTTGTTTTTAGAAAAGCAGAAGGAATATCCAACTGTGCTTGCACAATTACTTTGTTTGATCTGAGCTCTTTGTTTGACTTTATAAGTTTAAGCCAAGTAGAGATCAGGCCAAGAAGACCAATCACGGGCCAACAAAAATAAGATCTTGATCCAGATCCAGGAGAGCTACGGATAAAATTATCTTATAAGAGTGAGGATAGGAATTGTTTATAATAAGTCAAATACTTTTTAGGAAAGCTATGTTGGGGAATTCAAATAGCCTGCCTATTTTATGATTTACTGAATTAGAAGAACAGCAGGTAGAAGTCAATTTAGTTTTAACTTCATACATTTCAAAATTGCGTGGCGTTTGTCATGTTCTGGTGATATTAAGCAGGTGGCATTCCTTGCCTCCTTCCAGATGTTATAAGATCAAACAGCACTCAGTAGGAAGCAGCACCTGACATGCTCCACAGTCAAGCAGCATGAAATCAGTGCGACTCCTTGGTCAACCTCTGTCTGAAGTCGCCATGGGAATCAATGTTTGTACTTAGAGCTAGATTTTGGATATGGGTTACTTGACTACCAATTTTAGGTTCTTTCACACATGTATGCTACAACACAGTCAGTCCAAAACCAAGGTACGACATTGGTTAAAGAAAGAAAACACGTAAGAGGCTCCTATTGAATAAGTACAATTTGTTCAGTTCTGAACATGGAAGCTTGGTTGTAGTCCGAACAAAGACACACATAGACATCAGTGATTTAAAGAAAGATACATTTTCAGTGTCATTACAGTCTCTGCCACACATAAAATAAAAGGCTGTAGCATCCATCTTAAAGTGGTGATGGTAAAGAATATGCTGTCGTTCGGAGAAATCTCGACTGCTGTCTTTAAAGTACTATTGCGATAACAGAAGATTATCAGAGCGAAACAAAATAATGGAAGGAGTAATGATTATGTTTAAGAAAAAGAAAAACTAACATATTCAGCCAGTTCCTTTTAAGTACAAGTTAAGATGGATCATTGCGGATGGAAAAAAACGGGCAGCAGGAGAAGCTGTTAAATTGAATGTTCATATAAAGTATTTCAAATGCTGTCTAAATAAAAAAAGAAATGAAAAAGGAGAGAAGAAAGGTTTGGGGAAAAAATAAGATTTACATTATAAATGCACAGGTTTCCTTTCAATAGGCCTCTTCAAAACTCTGTCAGGTTTTTGATGGCGGGCAAGTTCAAAGTGGCACTAGAGTCCCACTGCTTCCAGAGATACAACAGGAACAGTGTGAGTGTGACCGTATCCACATGCGGCCTTTCTGTCCTACACATACACTCGCACTGTGTCCTGGTTCTTCACACCAAATCCTCTCATACTACCTGCTGCAT